GGGGTACTGAGAAAAGGACTGCATTCGATGTCATACTCATTCTGAACCTCTTCTTCTAATTTCAGTTTGCTTCAGTAACAAGCATCTCCATTAGATCGATCTGCCCCTATAGGTGTCATTTATTGGAGTTAGTGGGATCAATTCCAGATTTTTCAAGGTAACATAAATGATGATTCATCCGTGACTTACTAGCTTTTTTCTGTTGTATATTGTGATTCCAACCTTCATTGATACCCCTTTTTTCTGTTGTATATTGTGATTCCATCCTTCATTGATATCCCTGCCCATACAATAGTTAAATTTGTATTTGTATACTTGCTTGTATATGTGCATTCTTTTGATGTGATTGTAGGGCTTCACTTCTTGGCCATTTCATTCACTTTGGGTTAGCTTTGTAACTTTTAAGTTGATTGCTGCCATGAGCCGCAAGAGTGTTCAGTGTAACAATGTAGAGTAGTATTTGATAAAATTATAAGTTTTTTCTTGCTTTTTTATAGAGTTCATTGTGATTTTCATGAAACTTTGTGTTCAATTTGTGCACCTAACAAATCCCCTTTGTTTCTATGGTTAACAATTTTTTTTTGTCTCTGAAGGTATGCATCAAACATAGAATAGACCAGTGGAAAATCCCCTTTTGTCCAAAATTTGCATCTTCTGTATTTTCAACATTAGATATTCAGAGCAGTTATCTTTAATTTTTATCAATTACCTCACTTCAAGTTCTAGCATAAGTTTGCTAAGATGGTGTTGTGATCTTTCTTGCATGCTGGTCCTGGTGGTTTCTTTTCACAAAGTTTGCAAGAAGCAGCTAGACACTTTTTGACCTTTTCCTGGTAAATTCCTGGTAAATTTCCTCTTTGCTCTTGAAGTTTCTAAATGTAGGTGGTTAAATTTGGTAGTCTGATGAACCTATGTTCTTGATTTACATTGTTTTAATTTATTATGATTTTAAATATGTAGGGCAGCTTTGGTAACAGATTGCATGAAAGGAACAGAAACAATCCTTTCATATTTCCCACCAGAAACGTTGTGTGTTTCTTTAAACTGCCTCACGTGATGCCTTCTTAGTGTCAGGATGCAATTCCTCTATTGTTACGAAATGTTGAGGGTCCTTATAGTCCTGATCAGTCTTTGATATTTCTAATTTTATAGCACCGAGTTCTGCAAGAGATTTAATGTGATTCAAAACTTTACTAAAGGCTGCAAAATAAGTTTATTGAAATTGCTGGAATAATATGAAATAGCAAAAATGGTTCCTTTGACAATGGTTGTTAGTTTATTTTGCCTTAAATATTTTGAGTTATTTTGTAGTGTGGTAGGATTGTAAAAGGTGTTATGGCAGCTTGCTTGCACAGTATTCACCTATTATATCAAGGGCTAATAAAACACCTAAACCAAATTTGATGGCCACGATTCTATGTGTGATGCCAGGCTTCTCACCCCTGCGCCCTCCTCGCCCTTCAACGCACGTAGCCTCACCCAACGCGCCCTCCGCCTCACGCCGCGCGGCTTGTAGTGCTCCTCACACGAGCAGAGTTCAAGAGCTGCAAACACGGAATAAAAAAAAAGAAACGCACCATCGCCAGCCCGAGCCTCGCCCATGGACACGCTGCTCATAGGCCATCCTCTCCCCATTCGCGCCGCCGCCCATCTCCATCTTGCTCTCCGATCCCCACCCCTATCTGTGCAGTATTGACAAACCACGAGACACCACGCGTCCACGCCCTTCGGATCCCCACCTCCATGGCTCGATCCCCCGCGGAGACTGAGCATGAGCGACGCGGATGCGCTAGGCGGCCTCCAATGGTGACAACCACGAGCAGGAGTTGAAGAATAGGTGGTGGACAACTTCCTCATCATGGGACCTCAGCCGCCACCTTGCCGTCGTCACCCCTCCGCCGCCCCAGATTGCCAGAGGTAACCGCTCCTCGGCGGGTGTTTGATGGTGCCACCCTCGTGGGGTTTCGTGCTGTTGTTGCAAGTGCGAGTTCATGGCTAGGCCACCATGCTTGGTGACGCCAGGTGTTTAGATGCGTCAAGGGGTGGTGTGCTTGGTTAGTGAAGCGAGTTCGCTACGATTTGTGTGGACTGGATGCAATGTTCAGGTTGCCTTCTGTATTTATTTTGGGGCGCTGATTTGACTGATTGGATTAGTTTCAGTCAGTTATATATAGTTCTGAATTTTGTTGTGATACTGACAGAGATCTCTCTTATTATGCTTCATATCTATGTTTTGTGTACTTTTGTTGTGGGTGTATGGCTCACTACATGCAGATCGGTGTGGTGATGTTGATGCACCTGTTAATATTCTTACGCCGCATAATAATGTAGCTGAAAACCAATGCCTCAGCCCTGTTTCTTAGAACATGCCCTGCTTCATTTGATGTGTACAAAAGGTACTAGATCGCGCTTGGATATTTTTTAACTACTTTTACGATTTATCGCATGGTAAAAGAAGATTCCGTGATAATAAAGCTCTCTTTGGCAAAGAGCTGGGTGTCCTATAGTAATTTTGGATCAAGATCTTTTGAAACTAAGTATTGTGCAGGTAAACCATTTTTGTTGTGTGATTTGCATTACCAAATGTCACCGTAGCGTTAGCACGGGCATTATACTAGTACCTATAGACGGCCTGATGGACTGGCACGGGCTTAGCCCGAAAAGATAGGATATGAGCTCGGCACGGCACTAACCTCATAGTGCCCACGCCATGGCACGGCCGTAGTGTCGTGCCCTGGCCATATCCTTGGGCCTTAGTGTTGATATTAGCACGACACGGTTAAATGGTTTGACACTATGCTAGCCCGATCGCTATCAGTCGTTGGAAGTATTGTATCTTTTCCTCACTGGTGGGTTTTTACAAAACCTAGCTATAACATAAACCTCCTTCGTATCTCGAAATTTCTTCCATGACCCCCACGCCGCCGCACCCGATGCTTCGGCTCCTCCCTCCCATGGCTTTCTCTTGTATTTCTCAGGGGCTCTCGCCGCTGGTCGCCTCTCCCCAAGCGTCGCCCTCCCTCTAACCCTGTTCCCTGTCTCAACCTTCCTTAGCTCCCTCTCGTCATCCTGGCCTCCCCGAAGAGTGGCGACATGACGCGGTGCAGCAGCTCTGTGGCAGTGATGAGACACAGCGGCTCCGGCGGTGGTGGCATGCCACAAGGACCCTAACTGCGTGGTGCATCGACTCCGGCAATGACGGCAGCGCTGCTCTAGTCGTGTTGGGGCTAACACGGTCTTGATAGGGGGCGGTCGTTCCCATCGTGCTGACACGGCATGATTAGATGCCTTTAGGGCACCCGCAATGGTATAAACTAGTTACTAGCCCTAAGCTAACTTCCTTAATAGTGCTAACTTTTATCATATAGCTCATAAGGGCGTTCCCAGTGGTGCTAGCTACGTAGCTGGCTTACGTGGATGTGAGAGACAACAACAAAGACTATTTTATATATTTTTATTTTTCTATATACTATATTGGACCCACATGTTCATCTCTCAGATTCTTGGACTACGTGAAATAGATCAGCTATTTGTTCATCGATAGTGACTACTCTCTCTTACTTTTTCTCTATCCACGTCAGAATAACGAGCCAAATAGCTAGCTGTTGAAGACGCCCTAAGAACGTCCTCAACGAGCAGCTGTAAATCGCCAGCCGATTAGAAATAAAAAAGGAAAAAATATCCATCCAGATGGAGTGGGCCGTGTAGCCAGAGATGGTGAGCACATGGGGGAATGTGCGAGCTAGCTAGGAGTTCGTCGCTGGTGACTGAAGTTTTCGCATTCTCTCTCCATCAACGTACGCAAATAGCTAGAGACTTCATCCTTGTCGGGGATGGCTTAACATGGATAGCCTCACATGACACTGTCACATGATTTTGAAATATGTGTATGAGCTTAGCTCTTGATCAAGAGTTAGCTTTTCTCTCTCTTCTATTAATTAAAATATGAAAAAAAATGTTTAAAGATAGTTTATGAGTCACCTTTTGTGGGTGCCGTCGTGCCTAGACTGAGAAGCCGACACGGTGCCATGACACGTCGTGCCTAACAGTGTCATGCCTAATCATGTCGTGCCATGTTTGGGTCGCCCGTCTGGCTATCTATATGAATACCCCAATATCCTGGCCAAAATACTTTACAAATACACTATAGTATGTATCATACACAGATATGCATATATGGGAGAAGTAAAAAAAATGTTTAATGTATTTAGGCCGGAGGATAGTGGGTTGTGTAGGTCAAATCAAATCAAATATTCGAGATTTTCGTTAGTAATACCAGTGCCATAGCCGAAATCCAAATTACACGGGCCAATATTTCTTGAGGAGAAAAACGGCCCGTAAGGCCCAAGTGGAAAGCCGAGGACAATAAAATTTTCTTTTATTTTTTCCTTCATCGTCGTCTGCTCCGCTCCCCTCGAAACGGAGACGGCCTGCCGCCGCCTTCCGACCGTACGCCCACGCGCACGAGGAGAGGACGGAGCCGCGGGGCAAGACGGCCCCGCCGCCCCTGCTGCGCCGCCTGGATTTTGGTGCCGTTTCCCGACTTGGAGCTGCGGACGACCGCCGCCGCCCTCTCCGGCCAGCCGCAGTAAGGGACAGGCCTGGAGGAGACGCCGCACTTACGCGGCTCCGCCTCCGCTCACCACTCGCGGCCCAGCCTGACTCCTCCCGTCCTCCGTCCACTCATCCAGGCTCGTAGCGTAAGTTCCGTCAGCGTTCAGCGCCCCCCTCCTGCCCTTCCCTTGCGATTCTCCGGCAATTGGTCCCTGTATCAACCTTTGCTCAAACACTGAACATCTATTGCCGCGTTAAGTTAAGCCAACACAAGGATTTTTGCAGAGTGTTATCACCGTGGTCTTCTTAGGTTAGTGGTCGCCGAAATTTCTTTATTTATTTACAGCTCCATTGCGCGTTGCTGGCTGTTGCCGATTTCTTGTTTTTAACTTTTTATCTTCAATCAACTGAACTATAGTTTTTCTTATACAGTTTCAGGCTTGGCCATGCCTGTAAACATAGATATTGCTCCTTTCAAGCTGGACATCGATGAGCTGATAGCTGATTATGCCAAGGTAATTTTGTCAAATTCTCTCCGTGTGTTGTGCGCATATTAACTTTAGATGAATAATACGGAACATCTGTGTGTTCCTGATTGGTAGGAGAACTATACGTCACTCGCTGAATTCAAACAAGTGTGGATGGCCAAGAAATTTTCTTATATCTATGAAGGCAGACCTAAGACAAACTCGGGTTTATTCATGCAGTCCCTCTTTCTGGATTGTATTGGTAGGTGTTAGCTTCCTGGAAGTGCATATTTCTGAACTGAACCCACACTTACCAATAATCCTTTTGGTGGAAACAGCTGAACTATATTTTTCCACTTAATTGTGTGTCCAGGTCATTTGACTTCTCAAAGTTCACTACCCCAAAGATTGGCTGGGCTTTACTGCCTTTACTGTCTGTATGAGTGCCAGCCATACAAGCCACAGTTCAAGATTTATTTGTCTCTTGGTAAGGCACATATATTCGAGCCAATAATCTGGTGCATGTTGAAACTATTCTTCAATGAATTAAATATTTTCTTCTGTTGGAAACAGAGGAGTGCAGGCAATTGAAAGATTTTGTTGTTACGGCTAAGCAAAATGGACTGAATCTTGTGGCTGCACTTGTCAAAAGGATGCTGAATAAGGGCATGTTTTTGTTTGGCTACATGAATTTGATTGATGACAATGGGGACAAGCAGGTTGAGGAATTGACTGCATTGCAGAACAAACGAGTAAAATTTGCCTGTGACAAGTACGTGTGACTTTTGCCACCGTGATCTTTAGCATTAGTATTTTTGTTTTGAGTAAATTGCACCAATGATATGATGTTCATATGAGTGTTAGTACTGTAAGCAATCGCGCCTAACAAGTAAGATTAGTAACACAAATATTCGCTGTAAGTTCCTTCTCCTTGCTTCGGTCTTGCATGTTGTTCCAAAGTGCAGGTTATTACTCATGTTTCTTCCTGTGCAAACATGGCTATAATTTGGTCAACGAAAAAAACAAGGCTAAATCTATTGCCTGCTGATATTTTCCATGTAACTTTTATGTTTGCAGGTTATTTGCAAATACCCAAGCAGAAAGTTATATGCACATGGACTTGGTAAGTTCAATGCTTGCTTTTATTTTAGTTCTACTCCTATCATGGTGGCATGGCGGGGACACGGTTCCGTGGTTTGCACATTCATGCGAGAACGTGATCCTTCTAGTTTTGTGTTTTGATACAAGCTCCGTAAAATGGACCTGCGCTCCCTCTAATTTTCCCTCTTACTTTCCATAAGATCTTATTAATGAATTATTATGCTGTGTTGGGTTGGAAATATATCATCACAAAAACAAAAGGCAGCCTACCAATCTTTTCTTTGATTTATAGTACAAACATCATGCAGGTACACTTCTGTTACTGATTTATTCTTCTTCCTCTAGGGTGCCGAGTTTGAACTTGATAGCATCAAGAAACTGTCGAAGGAGTATGCAGAAGCAAAGGAATTGGCCCTTGCAGGTGCTTGTCAATTGTCACTGTTTGATTTGTGCATTTTCTTCTCCTTTGTGTAAAACTCTGGACTAACAAAAACACTGTTTCTAACCCAACTGTGTTATTTGTTTGCCCCTATCACCTGGACAGAGGCAAGCCAAATTGTGGCAGTTGAAGATGCTAAGCACCTCCTTCAGAGTGACAAGCTGTTGGGTGACAAGATAGGTGAAGTCGTCAAAGAATGGGATGCCCAGAAGGAGGGGTTCTACGAGAGAACAGGATTATCCCCTGGCAATCGGCTCATGGTGATTGACAATGATGAATCAGGAGTACAATATCACGAGGATGGATCCCGCGGCAATCAGCTCATGGTGGTTGACAATGATGAATCAGGAGTACAGAATCACGAGGACGATGACTTTGATGAATTAGATCAGCTGCTAGAGTGAAGAAGAGAATAAGTCCATAAACTCTTAGTGTCGTATAACCCTGTAATTTCAGCATGCTTTGAGATGAAACTGTCGTATAACCCTGTAATTCAGCATACTGCGAGATGAAATCCTTGCTCGTGTTTACTAGGCACTCCTTTTTAGTTGTTTTCTGTTCTCCTACACTGACTGAAGCAAAATCTTGTTCAGACTTCCAGTTTTGGTGAAGCTTGTCCTGACGAGAAAAGTAAATCTTTCATGTACCTGGTGTCCCAAATTTCCAATTGGCGAATTAAACTGCAATGGTGATCTCCACTATGTTGTCTGCAGTAACTGTACATTAAAATAATCCAGTGCATCCTTGCAGGAAAAAGAAGTGAACTTGAGTAAAAATGTAGATGACAGTGACATGACAAGAAAAGAAAAAACGTGGTGTGAACATATCTGAAACGAAGTAACTTTCAATTGGCGAATTAAGCTGCAATGGTGATCTCCACTACATTGTTTGCAGTAACTGTGCATTGAAATCATCCATTGTGTCCTTGCAGATAAAAAAAAGTAAACTTGAGTAACATGTAAATGATCAGTGACAAGAAAAAAAAGTGGTGTGGTGTGAACATATATGAAACGAAGTATACTGAACGCGAAAAAAGAAAGATTCCATTGCCGGGATTTGAACCCGGGTCGCCTGGGTGAAAGCCAGGTATCCTAACCGGACTGGACGACAATGGATTTGATGTTGGAATGCACAACTTAATCCAATAGTACAATTTTTTTGTTTTTGATGAAACCCACTTGTACTAACTTGACCACACGACCAGCGTACAATCCACTCAAATATGTTATGAGTACCCAGTACTTTTTTATATTTTTGTAAAGCCATATTTTATCATAAACGAAGAGCTGGCCTGGTGCAGTGGTGAGAGCTGTCTCACTGAGTCACCGGGTCGTGGGTTCGAAGCAGCCTCTTCACAAATTTTACGAGGAAAAAGCTTGTCTCGGTTTATCCCTTCCCCAAACCCCACTTATGTGGGAGCCTCCAGACCCATATTTTATCATAAACGCGGCCATGATTAGCACAGTCCAGCTTGTAAGCAAACACTGATGCACTACTTTTTCTGTGCTGAACTACTGTGCCACGATTCAAGCGAGACACCATGATGCCCCCTTTCCTTAATTTCCATTTTCCTTTTCAGAAAAGAAAGAAAACAGTCTCCTTTTTTTGGTTCTACTATAAAGGAACAAGCGTGTGAAAAGAAGCCAAAGGCCACGCACGCTCGGCTTTGTTGAGCACCCCAACCAAACTGGCTGTTGCTGGCCTCTCGTGCCCGTCAGGCAGCTCGATCTTCCACATTGTCACACATCGAGACCATCAAAGCGACAGTCTGCCCAAACCATCTCCTGTTCGATCTCCTTCCAGTTCCGCTCGGGAGGAGAGATCTCCTGCGACAAATGATTCGGAAGGAAAAGGAAGATGGTTCAAGATTCAATGATATGGCCCTCCATGCACAGTGGTAGCTGGTGGTAGTTCATCACTGTTTCCTGTTGCCTGTTGTGGTCTCTCACACGCAGAGTGGCAGAGCTCCATGGTTGTCCCTGCCCAGCCTGCACTGCAACGGCCAACGGCAATCGGCAGCCTCATGTGACTACTGAGCAGCAGCAATGTCCAGTGGTCCCATGCTCCCTCTATCCATATCTGCTTTACATACAAACGGCTGCAACGCAAATGATGCCGTCGTCCGTCCCACATCCTTTTGCTGCATCCGGCAGTCCTTTTGATACTGATGAAACTGACCGGTGAAAGGCGTTCTTGGCCTCTCTGTATGTATCTACGCGTCTCAAGAAAGATGTTTCCCATGACATCGGTCTCCGTCCATTGTTCAGCCTCACCTCTTAGCCCCAGAAAAAAAAAGAACTTGGACAGTCCTGCCGCACCAAGCTTCAAGCAGGCCCCACGGTTAGTCGGTGAGCATGACGATTCTCATTCACAACGTCTCGGTAAAAAAAAATTCGTGAACATTCAATCACGCGTGCCAAATGTGCATCGACTTTTCGTTATCAGGAATGCTAAATAACAACCGAGTGTTTTTTATGGATTCCACACGCGATTCCTGGTGCGTCCGATTCGTGCGGGGATGGTTGTGGAGGGTGTCCGATTCGTGTCCTCACCCGCCGTCTTCTCCTCGCCTGCGCTGCTGTCTTTTTCCCTAGCTCCGCCGCGGCGGCTAGGGTATGGAAAGAGCCGGTCGGGGGAGGTAGACAGGCCAGGTGGTGAGGATGGTGGCTAGGCGTTTTAGAGGCCCTAGCGGTGGTAGTGGCGGCCGAGCTAGGTCGAGGTGGGTGAGTCTCGCCGGAGTTGGAGAAGATGGCGGCGGCAGAGCTCGTTGGAGTTGGGGAAGAAAACGACAGCGTGAAGAGATCGAGGGAAGGGAAAGAAGTTGGCCGTCTCGGGCACGGTAGGGTCTCGCCGGGTGGGCGAGGAGGAAAGAAAACAGTTTAAAAAAATTGGGTGTGAATATGGGGGCAAAACATGCGAATGTCAAATACACGCTCGTCGTTTTTTTACAGTGGAATATAGTAAACCATGCTGTACGACCGGTCTTCTGAAGAAGCTCAGCTGTGCGTGCTCGCTTCTGCTTCTGGGTTTACCCAAACAGCAAGAACAAGGCATTGGATTCGGGGCAACAATATCCTACGGAGTAGGGAGTACTTCCTCTGCCATGGCAGCTCGCTTCTGCGCTTCGCCACTGCTACTGCTGCTTGTACTGCGGCCTTTCACCTTTGTATATACTCCTACCTACCTGGAATGTACTCGTACCCAAAGTGGTACTCCATGCGGCCGGTGAGTCCGTTTCGCAGCCAGTTCGGAGGAGCTTCTCAGCTTTGCACTGCAGCAGCAGCAGCAGCGTGGATTGACGATCCCTGACCCTCCAGGTGAAATCTTGCTCCCCATCCGCCCATTTCCTTCAGCCCCGCGCCGTTTGTGTTCTTGACGCCGCTGGCGGCATGTCGCTATCGAGAACTACTAGGCATTCGCAGGTGTTCTTGGCCATGTTTAGATTGCAAAAAAATTCAACCCGATGAATAGTAGCACTTTCGTCTTATTTAGTAAATATTGTTCAATCGTGGACCAATTAAGCTCAAAAGATTCATCTCGTGATTTCCAACTAAACTGTGTAATTAGTTATTTTTTTAATCTACATTTAATGCTCCATGCAAACAGCTAAAAATTGATGTAATGGAGAGAGTGAAAAAACTTAGAATTTGGAGGTGATCTAAACAGGCCTTGTTCGACTGTTCAATCGATTGATTGATTGTGGATAGATTAGATACGGGGGGTCAGGTGATTTGGTGAACTCGATGAGTGGATGCAATTAATGCAATAAAATCATGGGCCTGCCACCAGTCTCGATCGTCCTGCGACGTTGCGTTGTTCCCAATTCCTTCGGGCTCTTGTGATCTTGCGCCGATTGAATTCTTTCGTCTTGTTCAGAGTGTCTCTGATCTTGCAGTTGCAATCGCCCCGCCCAGGCGCAGGTACTTTCCGATGAGTCGGATGTGAATCCGGGCTCCATCTCGGAGCGGAGAGATGGACATGGATGGATCCAGGCAGCAGCAGAGGAGGGGCTCGCCGCCGGAGGCGTCGGGGAGGCCCCGCACCGTGCCGATCGCCGTCACGCCGGAGGGCTTCTGGTGCTGCCCGTCCCCCGCCGCGCTGCACAAGAGCCTCCTCAAGAACCCGCACCACCATCCCCACGCCAAGCACGCGCCGGCGCCGCCGACGCATAAGACCCCCTCGGCCCCTCCGTCCAGAGCCCCCTCGGTCCAGACCGCGCCGTCGGTGACCGACGACCCGGCGCCCGCCGTGACGGACGACCAGCAGCACCACAACCACAGCCAAGCGACAACCGAGGCTCCGGCTCCGGCCGGCGGGCAGCAGGAGCCGCCGCCGCAGCAGCACAAGGTCTGCGTCGGGTTCGGGCGGCCGGAGACGAGCGACCTGACGGTGATGCTCTACGGAAAAGAGGGCATCGCGGTCAGGATGAGCGTCCACAGGGACGTGCTCTCCCAGAGCAGCGCCTTCTTCGCCCAGCGCCTCGCCGCCGCCGGCAACCCCGCCCCCGCTCCGCCGCCCTGCGTGGAGATCCACGACTGCGACGACGCGGAGATCTACGTGGAGACGGTAGGCCTCATGTACTGCGACGAGGCCAAGCACCGGCTGCTGCTGAAGCAGAGCGTCCCGCGCGTGCTCCGCATCATGAAGGCCGCCGACGCGCTCGGCTTCCACGCCTGCGTCACGTCCTGCCTCCACTACCTGGAGGCCGTCCCGTGGGACGGCGACGAGGAGGAACGCAGCGTCGTGTCCTCGGTCCGCCGTCTCCAGAGCAGGGACAAGGACGACGGCTGCAACTACTACGGCGGAGTCGTCACCCCGCTGCTGAAGAGGATCGCCTCCGACGACTGTCTGCGACCGCCCAGCGACACGTTCGCGAGCATCACGGAGATGGTGCTGACGAGCACCGACGACCGAGGCCGTCGCGAGATGAAGGCCCTGGTCCTGAACCTCCTCAAAGACAGCACCCGCAGCCATGGCGTCGGCGTCACCGGCGGCGACGGATCACCACCAGACGTCATCTCCTCTGCCGAAACGCTGTACAGTTCGTGCCGGGGCTGCCTGGACCGGCTCCGGGAGCTGTTCGCCGAAGCGTCGTCGTCCGAACCGGACTACTACTGCCCCGCCGTCGTCACGCGGCGGATCGCGCTGGAGACCGACAACCTCCTGTGGCTGGTGGAGATGCTGATGCTGGCGAGCCAGCGCGCCGGCGACGGCTTCGTGGCGCTGTGGTCGGGGCAGGCGGAGCTGGCCGCGTCGCACGCCAGGGTGCCGGCGCCCTCCCGCCACGCCGTGAGCCGCGTTACGGCGCGGCTGTTAGTCGGCGTCGGGAGAGGGGAGCTGCTCCCGCCCAGGGACGCCCGCCTCCGCCTCCTCCAGGTCTGGCTGCACCCGCTCATCGACGACT